TGCTGCAGCGGCCCAGGGTTTGAATCCGACCTGCGGCCCTTTGCTGCGTGTCATGCGTGTCACGCCAAAAAAAAAAAGGATTATGTGTCTGTTTAAGACAGGAAAGATCCAGACTAGTGTGACACCAAAGCACAAATGCAATCATTAACCCATCATTAACCTCACATGATCGATTGTAAAAGCACTCCCAGGCTCTGTGTGTATCATGTGAAGGTCAGGCCCAACATCAAGATGGATTCAGTACATTATTGAACCAAAGCTTTCATTTAATCTACTTTCCTTCTGCCTCTGTCTTCATTCCAGACTGTCTTTTCATTAGCCAGCCTCCAGCACAAGACAAATGTTGCTCTGGGTGGCCCTAGGTCTGTCTGCACAGGATATCCATCATTAGGATGTGCCATGTAGCACCAAGGGTCACACACACATGCTCTGTGTAATTGCAGATGGATACCCACGAGATGAGATGATTTACAAGTGGAGGAAGAACTCTGTGGAGGCGGCTGACCAAAAGTCTTGGCGTCTCTACCAGTTTGATTTTATGGGCCTGAGAAACACTACAGACATAATCAAGACTACAGCAGGTAGGATTTGTCTGTTTCTTCCTCATATAATAAACTCACTTTGGCAGAAATCACTTTCAGTTCATTATCATTCCTTCATTCATTTATTGTGCAACAAGTTGTGTTTGTGACAACTGTAGGCTGGGTTTTTTTCCTAGCATGGCGACAGACTCATCCAATCATAGCAAACCCTTTAAAACCATTACCAAGATGGGGTCACTGATGATTTTGGGGTGGCACACAGGGTGACAGACAGACAGTCTGAATGCTGGTTTGCTGGAAGTATTAGCTCTTTTTGTTGTTTTAGAAAACAACTGGGAAACAACATCAATGAATGAGCATTAGCATTAGTACTTGCTAATTGAATTCAGTTTGTAAATGAAAAAATAAAAGCCCCTGTTGTAACCATTAAGTCAATTCCAAGATCCATTAGTCAGACCCAAACCTGCCAACACTTTAATTTTCCCCTTGTTTCTTCTGTATTTTAAGGCCATCTCTCACTACCCTCCCATTTTGTTGCTTCACCTGGGTAACTTGCTTAGCCTCAAACTTTATTATGAATAATCATCATACACAGATCTATAGAGGTTATACAGGTGTTGTATGTCTGACTTGACCCAATTTATCAGATTGTGTTGGAATGTGACACAATCCACACACTACGTACAATTTCAACCCCTCTGTCACTGCAACCTGGCAACCCTCCCCCAACCTAAATGTTGGCAGGTATGGTCAGACCACTTGCTGTCCTATCATCACTTATATATGGAATATCATCTCCTTGTTTACACTGAGCATGCAAGAAATAGAAAGTACAAGTCACAAAAACACCCATCTATCTCTCCTCTTCTCCATCTGTCGTTTCCATCTACTGCATTTAATCTTTTTTAAACCACTTGAATTTGCTTTGCAACTTTTTTGCAAACTGTTTTGCAGGTGTCCCACTGAGACAACTTTTCTTATTACTTTAACACATCGTCATGCTCCAATTTTCCAAAATTGTCATATATCAGATCTGCTGTTAGCGCTATCCTTGGTGAGAAATACATTGTGTTTCCTGTAACGGCTTCACAATAAAAGCAATGGAAAATGTTGACTAAGCATTAGCAGTAACTTCATACGGCTCTGAAACTGTTGTAGCAGAGTGAATAGCAAACAGTTAGGCTGACGTCAGTGAGATACAATTACAAACAGTAACGCTGGATTACATGCTAACTTTAAAATGTGTCACTGAAACCTCTTTGAGGCAAGAAACTGACCACATATGCATTTCCGTAGCTTGCGTGCATCAAAAACATAATTGTTAGTGATATCCAGTTCAGGTTTATTGTGCAATTCAATAGTCCACCTTAAGAGGAAGCTGTATGTAATCTGCAAAGAGCTGACTCAGCTCTTATATTTTTAGAAATGTTCTTCATTTGCATATAGGATTTCGTATTAATCTTAACCATTACAGCAAGACACTCTGTACCAGACTTAACAATACCAATGTGCAGCACTGAACTTTAAAGGGGTGTTACCAGGATGTTAGTTATAGACAAAGTTTACACATAGATCAATGCTACTACATTATTGATAATTCATGCAGGACTTTCAAAAATGTCCACCCTAACCTGTTTGGGTTATTTAGCAAATTTCTAGTACAGTTTGTGTACCAGTGCCTAAAGTGACTGGAGATGTGTCTGTAAAGGTTTACATCAAGTTGTGTTGGTTGGTTGTGTTGGGTTTTTTTCACACACAGGTGACTATGTGGTGATGACAGTGTACTTTGACCTAAGTAGAAGAATGGGATACTTCACCATCCAGACTTACATCCCCTGCATCCTCACCGTCGTCCTCTCATGGGTGTCCTTCTGGATCAAAAAAGATGCCACGCCAGCCAGAACAGCGTTAGGTACTGTGGTCTCATACACTGTTTAAGTCTGGACTATTGCTTTAAACTTCAGCTGTAGAGATAATTGGAAATACTGATGTAGACATCATCTCAAGGTCCTACTTCTGAGGTTTCCATTAGCACACTCTAATCATGTTTTGCTTTGAATTTGCTCCATCTTTATGTGTTGTTATCTATACTGCATGGATATTTGTTTGTCACTTAACTTGAGTCACTTCATCTCCTTTTTTCTGTTTTGTTATGCTCTTTCCCTCTTTTGTACATGCTCTCTATTTGTTGTAGTGCAGTGAGGAACATTTTGGTGAAGGTAATTGATTTCATCCATTTTTTTCCCCCCACTCTGTTTACATTTTTTCTTCAGTCAGTTTTACTCGATCCTTGAATTAGGGATTTAAAAGATGTACAGCAATTTCAAACTTTTAGACAGGCATTATAAAATTATAAGGAATGTGCCTCTTTTGAACAGTACTAGTGCAAACTAATGACTGTCTTTGTTGATTTTTATTTTATTTTATTTTTTAGGAAAGTCACATACTCCACACTGGAAACATTTATGTGTAACACATGATCTACAGATCCTCACAATTTCCTCCACATTAAGCTGTCAGTAAAGCTAAATGCTTCTGAGAGTTTTCCTTTCATCAAACCTGCTGTTCATTCTGTCATTTAGAGCAAAAACTTTCAAATCTTTGCCATAGCATCGGCAGGAGGCAGGTAAGTATAATCACTGTGGCAAGCAGAGGCTAAAGGAAAAGTGTGAGATGTCCGCCTGAAATAGATGGCACCAGCTTGTTACCATGGGAACCTCAGTGAAACAGTCACAGATGTTTTTTCTTATAGGCATCTTTATAATGCTAATGGAGTAGGAGATGGAAGAGAGGAAAGAGTAAAATCATACAGAGATGCTTGAGGAATAGAGGTTTCTCTCATGTCTGTCAATCTCAAGTGACACTGATAAGATAAGGATGTGGATACTTTTAACATAAATACAATTATTAAAGAGAGTAAATCAAGTAAATATTAAAGGTCCACTAATCAATATTTATAAAAATAGATCTAATGTATGATCTACGTGTAATGTGAAAGAAGATGTCGATAGCGATGAACCAGAAGGTTTTAGTGTCTTTCAACTCATCGTTTTGGTTTTATGGCTGCCACTTAAGTGTCTTGTTTCACTCTCACTGTTTTAATCAGCGTCTCAGAAGCAGCAGGCAGCAAGTGTGAACCTATCATGACATCAGCCGTCGGTCTGTGGAGTAGCGTTTTGAAACCAAGTTTGGCATTATGGCCGTTGATGTACGGCGGTTTTGCGGAGCCAGCGGATGTGACATACTGCAAGTTGAGCTGCTCTCACTGGCTGCACAGTTTCAACTCATCCGTAGCAGGAAACAATGGCATTTTCCATAGTCACACACCTTCTCCTATTACAGCTAAAGAGTACACTTAAATATGTTTCTGAAAAGATTTGAGGCAAGAAAATAGGCAATGCAGTAAAATAATCTTGACTTATATTTGATCAGGACTGCCTAGTTTGGTAGTTTGATCTGAGTTTGGTGCAGTGTGCTGGACAGACTCACTGAGAATGACTTCTGCTGTCCATTAGAGAAAAAATGCAGGTTTATGACACTTCCATGTTAGACCAGGAAGTGGTTGACAGCTTTGCGCACTGCCCCCAAGTGGCCAAAAAAACCCACAAATTGAAGGTGTTTTTGAAGGTAACAAAATTAAAGGAAAACCCTGAATGAATGAGTGGAGATACTTAACGAATGCAAATGCTTTCATACAGGACACAAGGGGTCATGTAACAGATGTGAATCAATTAAACACCTTTGGGAGGGATAAGGATACAGAGACTAGGAGGTTTGTGTTGGTTTTTCCTTTTAACCGTCATCCATCTATATATTGAATGATAGACCTAATAATATAATAAATAAAAATGTAATACTCTTATGCCCATATTGAGTACATGAAGTCACTGTGAACAACCCTCCTGTTCACACTGGCCACAAAGTCATTCCTTAGACGTCTTTCTAGCTAGCTTCTTGTTGATGCAAAAATGTATTCATTTTAAGTTAATGTGAGCCTTTAGCACTCTTAGTTTAGTCTTAGTCTCAGTCTTAGTTTAGCCAAATCAGGTAGGTGTACTCCAAAGTTACACTTTTTTTGGTGATGGGATTCTATTTCATCTCAGTTGTGAGTTTGAAAAATAAAAACCTTGTTGATTTCCATTATTACCTGTGAGCAGTGCCTAAAATGAGTCTGTCCTTTCTTTTGCCCTTCAGGTATAACCACAGTGCTGACTATGACTACCCTCAGTAGCGTGGCCAGGACGTCACTACCCAGAGTTTCTTATGTCACTGCCATGGACCTTTTCGTCACCGTCTGCTTCCTGTTTGTCTTTGCTGCTCTGATGGAGTATGCAACGTTAAATTACTATTCATACAGTGCTCGAAGACCCAGCTGCATGGAGCCGAAACGATCGGTGAGTTGGCCTTAAATCAGTTTATACAGATCTAGCAATACTACTTAAAATCACCTAATAGTGAACTCATAATGATACAAATAATACATGTAGATTTGAGGTCATATGTATGAAGACTTATGTAGAGGATTACTATCACTTGTTACAAAAGTTGTTTTCTCTGATAGTGCTTTGGTTTTGTTATCATAAGACGGAAGTGAGAAAATCTTTCAGGGTTGAGATGATGTGATGCTGCCCTTTATAAGCACTTCTGATAAGACTGTTACTATTTTAAGGGACACTGCATCAGTCTGAGCAAGCTTCCAAGACAGACGGGCCTTTTCTATCCCATCAACAACTAAAGGAAGGGAGTGCAGACTGTCAGCTCAGAGCAGAAAACTAAAGCTCTAATCTGGAACAAAACTTTAAAGATATACACTATAGGCCTATATCTCGTCTACTTCTGTGAAGAAAACTAAATGAAATTTTTTGCCTTGAAAGAATGTATGATTGTTAAAAAATAAAAAATACACAAAACAGACATAGAAGTGTATAAAAAGAAACTAAACTCAGAAAACTCACCTCTGATGTCACATTTACAGGAAATAATCTGCTCAAAATTCATCCAAACTGCTGGTTTTATACAAACTTCCCTTATTGTGTTTTCTATTTGGGTTCATTGTACAGTTAATCACTTAGTCAGGAGTCGTTTAGGGTCTCTTAACCAAAAGGGTTGGGAACCACTGGTTTATAGACTAGTTTATATACTACAGCATTATATACATAACAGAATTCCTGAAATTCAGTTAAAGAATCATTTCTGGGGGCACCACTGCTCTGTTCAATAGAAACACATGGTTGTTAATGTGAAAAAGAATCCCTAAAAAACAACTAATCTATACAAGGAAAAAATACACTTTTTGCTTCCTCTCCTTCTTAGAACTATTCCGTCCTGGATGTGAGACCACCGCACACAGTCATCGCTTTAAACAACTCCATGTACTGGCAGGACTTTGAGGACGCTTGTGTCTACGAGTGCCTGGACGGAAAAGACTGCCAGAGCTTCTTCTGCTGCTTCGAGGAGTGTAAAGGAGGGGCATGGAGGAAAGGACGCGTCCACATAGATTTACTTGAACTGGACGCATACTCGCGTGTCTTTTTCCCCACCTCCTTCTTGCTGTTTAACATTGTCTACTGGGTAGGCTATCTCTACCTTTAGCACACTACAGGAGCCTGTTTGGTCACAGAAGGAGGACAACACAGTATAACAGGATAAATTCAAGATTAATAAATAATAAAAAAAAAGGTAACACCAAATAAACTCTTTCCTGCGGTACCTGAAGCAGTCACCTGGAGATAAAAAGAGAGGACAGGGTGTGTCTGCAGGTCTGTGCCGAGCAGAGATTTCTGCCTCTGTGACTTCAGGTATGAGAATACAACACAATACTGATTCCCTTCGATATGCTGTACACAGAGGGAGGACAGGATGGATTGTGTGCTGATGACAATTTGAAGACAAAGAAGGAAATGTGCTTTGCACTGCTACCCCAAACTCTCAATCAGGAGGATGACTTGTGTTGTAGGGATTGTACTGGCACGTTATTATCCAGCCATCAGTCAAATCCAGTTGATGAAAATCCAAGGACATTCAAACCATTCATAGTGCCTTCCTCTGGAGGGGTAGATACTATCTGCTACAATAATCAGGGAATAATGATTTATAAAAAGTTAAAAAAAAGAAGAGCCTGGCTTTGACTGATTGTGGCTGTTCTCATTCAGAGCTTTGAGTTACAGCCATTTGTTGTAACAACCACATGAAAAATCATTTATCCCCTCACACTGACTTTCAGCCATTAGGCATGACTTATTCCTCCTGCTTGCAACACTATTAGTATCCCTATATGGTCAAATAAATAAAAGGGTTCCCAGGGAAGAGAATTATTTCAATTGACCTTACAGCAGAATAATACTATGTGTTTTATTGGTATATCTTGTTTTACGTTAGAGGATGTGACGTCAAATATTTGATCAGTTCTTTGTATTTTATTTATGTTTGTGTTTGTACAGGCACAGCTCTCTCATCAGGGTCTCCTGGATGTGCACCCAGGGGCTCGAGAGACAATAAAATGGTTATGGGAAAGTGCTAGCCCCATGTACACATTCATTGATATATTTAAAAAAAAAAACAATTTCCTTTAAGGGATTGGTTTTGGGATATTTGGGGAAATATATGTCTTTCTTGCAAAGAGTTTGAGGAGGAAATTAATAGCATTTTAATGTCTGTACGCTAATATGCAGCTATAGTCAACAACCGCTTAGCTTAGCTTAAAGACAAAGCAACAACAAAATTTGCCTACAAGCAATTTGGCTATTTTACAGAATACACAAACAAGATATATTGTGTTAATTAATGAGATTCAAAATAACTTTTAAATTTAAAATACATTTTGGAAGTCTAGCTGTTTCCTTCTTTATGCTAAGCTAAGCTGACTGGCTGCTGGCTTTAGCTTCATATTTAGCATACAGCTGTGAGAGTAGTATCGATCTTCTCATCTAACTCTCCGCAAAGAAGTGAATAAGCGTATTTCCCAAAATGTCAAACTATTCCTTTCAAAGAAATGTGAGTAATGAGTGGTTCATTGATTGACATGAGTATATGGGCCTGTACTTTTCTGTCTACGTCAGCATTACTGTAGAGGTTTTAGGGGTTGTAAAAATACATTTTGGGTTAAATATAATTACAGCCACACAGACGTTTGTTTTGTCTACCAGCTGCATTGTCACAGATTGGGGCCCTCTGAGATAGAACACCTAGGGAACACAGGCAGCCATGCGCATAATTCAAGTGTTATTTTTCTAGAAGTTACACATATTCACACCATGTATTGGTGTTGCACAGCAGCCACTTCTTGCCAGAGCTCTTAACATGCACTAGATGAAGTGAATAGGCAAAGAATAATGTTTCTTCTCTCAGCCGTTAAACTAACAACCACCCTTCAGTTCTTCTCCAAACACAGTTGGTGAACGGGACGCCCCAAATGAAAGATAATGGGTGTCATTTGTACATTACTTTAGGCACAAATATGATAATCCTACTCATTTGGATCACTCCTCTCTGTTTGGCCGTTGACTCTTGTTTGCATGCAATAGGCAATTTAACACTACCCTGAAGAAGTTGTAATACGTTTGGAGATAGAATTATAGTTTTAATATGGACTGTTTGTAACATAATTTGATTTCCCTGTTTAGATTTGGCATTAGCAACCGTTGAATTGCCTTAGTGTAGCCCGCCCAGAGCTGAGATGAACACCAGAAATACAGATTTACCTCTGATAATAACCTCAGCATGGTGAAGACCTCACTTCAGCAAAGACTACTTCTTTGCCCTGGGCAGTATACTTTAGTAGAACTTTTTATATCCCTTTTTTGAGCTGTTTTCTTTTTATTATATTTGCAATGTTTGTGCCAAATATTTCACATATGTGCCCAGTCATTTATGTTTTACGTGAAGTTTTAACAACCCTAAAACGGTCACACTATTATGTTTTGGTACTGCACGTAGTATAGTGGTGTAAAATAAATAGTATAATGCTAGCTTTTGAATTATTTAGTATTTAGCGATTGTTGGGGGTTGATGCTGCGTTCACATTGTGGCAGTATGCAGTAGATGGGAAAGTGAACGGTCATTATTTCCAACAGGAGAAGAATAGTATACTCAGCCAGCACTGGAGCAAAGTGCCGCCTACTGTGCCTGCAGACAAACAAGATGCTGAATGAAAATGGATGCAGCCACATATGTTAGTGCACCTGTTCATTGTGTCTCCTCAACAAACACAAAGTACTGATAGCAGTTCTTCAGACTGTCTTTCTGTGGTTCTTTTCTTTGGCAACATGGTCATTTATACAAGTAATCATACTCAATAATAATAATAGTAATAATAATAACAACAAACTTTAATCTGCTATGCGTGGCATTTTCTTGGCCACAGTGTGAATGCAAAATTATTGTTTTATATCACGTTTATGACCCGTGTTTGTTTTGCAGTGTTAATTGATTCATTACTCTGTGGAGCCCAGATGTTACACAGTTCTGACTCCCTTCTGCTGACAGATGAAGGGCGATGCAATAAGGTATTCTGAGCGGTGCTATACTTAACAATAACTCTTGCATTACCATGTTAGGATCAAATCATTTCTGGGGCATTTTTGCCTTCATTAGACAACTGACTGAGAGAGGGGAGGCATGTGACAGAGATCCCACGCTGGTTCGCCTTCACCAGCTGAACCACTTGGATGCATCCGTTTGTAAGTTTGTAATTCTGCCAATATAAATCTTAGAACAGGGGCCTGACTGTTAAAATCATACTGTCAACTAAACTCATTCTTGTCTCACTCTGTATTTCAGGCAATAGTGTCTAAAACACACAGCAGCAACAGACACAAGAAGGCTCTTGCATCATTTAACTTTTCTTGAGTAAAACTCAAATGTATGAGGTTAAGAGTTATTGTGAACATGGCTCTGGAGGGTCCTTGAAAGTGAATTATCATCACATTTTCTCAAAAATCCAGATTGAAGTGATATATTGTCTAATGGTGAAATGGTGAAACTGAAGATTGGAGTTGTTGTGCAGGTGTTACTTTTGACTTAAGGGGTTTACATAGAACATTCATCTCCGTGATGACAGACAAAATGAATTCACTGTACCTTTAAACTGACACAACAGATTTTCCATTGGCTGTGCCCATCTCTCCCTACGTGCTATTTGAAGTTCAATAAGATTAATTCCCACCCTCCCTCTCATGTTTACTTTTGATTTTGCATCATGTTTTTCCAACTGGACAGTCCACATTTTTCAGTATTATCCTTCGAGACTCTGGGAAAGCAAAGGTAAACACTGGGAGGGATTCAGAATGGGATTTGATCCTAGGCCAGTATGGGTGTGTGGCTCCAGACTGAACCAGTCAACCAGCTCTGGCCACCGTGTCATCTGTGCCGAGGATCAGTAGGATTATGCAGAGGGGGCATGTGAGGGACAGACATATAGACATGAAAACTTATCTGTCTGTCACTAATGTGCTATGTAAATCCCCTGCAAAGAAAGTTGTGTGTTTTTGTGATTCGGAAGTTTTGTAACTATAAACGGAGAGAATTTTCAGTATTAGTGCAGTTTTGGTGACTTGAAATACAATAAACTCAGTGCAAATACTGCATTGATTCTAAGCCACATTCAGTAAGTATTATTGTGATGAATAAGCCAAAGACATTTCTGTTTCAGTTTATACACTGATGGTTTGAATCATGTTCGAGGGAATTGTTGTGTTTTGGGTTTAAAAAAAAAAAGAGTACGGCTTCAGTTTCATGTATTCAGTGCAGTACTGTGAAGTGTCATTTGGTTTGAAACTATGAGCGTAACAGAAATAATTAGCCTAGAAGTGCTCTAAGATTGGTTGATGTCATTTGCCAGTTCATCCACTCTTGTATTATTTGTGGCAGAAGTCTCACTAACAGCAATGTATGTGCTGAAGGGGATTTTGACAAGTGTCTCTGCTGCTATACACAAAGTGTGTTTCTACCACAAGCTTTCATTCTTGCTATCTGCAGTGTATTTCAACAGTGGTGAATCATGTTTCTGTTGACATGTATTATCTCCTATCTAACTTACTCTATACACAATACTCAACTGTACACTTTTTCTGCTTTGTGTTTTCACATTTGTGGCTTCAGTGTGACATAGATATATCATTACTCAATGGTACAGTCAAGTGCAAGTGTTGAGATTGTACTCCTCAGCAGCGTGGTGTCCTGTGAGTGGGGTTGTTTTCATGATTTTGCGCCTTCGGCTCCAGCATCTACAATCCATTTCTGATGGCCCATGCTATTTTCATACCTATGGTTCTTTTTATATTTGAAATGTGAATTGCTACCAAGGACCAGAAAATATGGAATAAAGTTTTTTTCATAAATGTACATCATTGCAGTCAGTTTTGCACTTTAAATGTCTTTTGTTTAAATGCATTTAAATTGAAGCTATTTTAGTATTAGCAGAAATGTGCCTCCTGATAGACTGTATCTTACCTCAGCTTCTTGTTGTACCCAACTGGTGTTTTGTCAAAATAAATTTTGGAAAAAGTGAGCACAATGGGACCTGCCTGCAACAAAAAGACAAAATGTCTGCCAGTCTCTATCTGAGCAAAAATGTTTAAACCAGTTATTTCCTGAAGATCCTTCCAGTCAGCGTGTGAGAGGAATCATATTCAAAGGAACACATTATTTTTTAACCTAACATCAAAACAAACTGACCTTGAGTAGCTAGCTTTTTCAGTCTGTGTGGTTTGGTGCTGGGCAGGTAAAAGCTGCCTGCTGTGGCTGTAAACAGGGTTGAGGGGAGCCTGAACCAAAGTGAATTTGCTGGGGTACCAAACAAACCAAATTGAAGGAGCTAAAATACATTAAAACACTGTAGAGCTGAAGGGAACTGCACAGCCAAATGATCATTCAGCTACAAACGACCCCTTTCACATTACACATAGTCATTTGATCCATTGTTATAGAAATATTGATTTGTTCAGCTTTTTAAGTGAAGATCACAGACAGCAGATAGGCCAGTGTGAGTGAAAAAGGGGAGGTGGCACTAGAGCAGGACACCCCTTTAAGGCATCATCAGCAGATGTAAAAGTTACAGGTAGAGAAGAAGCAGGGGTCTCTTATGTCAGGGGTCAAGGTTCAGATTGAGCAAAGATGCCCCTGAGACAGTCCAGCACATAACAAAAGTGTAAGAAACAACTAGAGTGCATGTATTAGGTTCCAGGACCACACGTCGATTCATTCAAGAAACACGGTGGCTGCGGAGTCATTAAAAGTCTCTTGCTGTATGTGAGCAGCAGACGAGGGATGCAGCTGTGTCGGTGCAGGATAAACCAAAACAAAAGTAGTCTATCTCATTCATAGATCAGCACTGTGTTGGACGTCCTGCCTACTCAGCACTACAAATTGTCAGTTGCCATAGTAACCGTGTTCTTTCTGGTGTAACTAAAGATCTGATCGAAGGCACTGACGGCAATCTGACTCCATTCTGTCACCTGGCTTTGACAATATTTTGGCTTTTATACTTTTTAGTTTCCATCCATGGGTACAGTGGTAATTCACACACACCACTGAAACTCAGTGATATGAAAGGCCTGTCCCTGTATAATACATTTTCCAGCTCAAAACAAAAGATATTGCATTATGTGCTCTGTGACTGTTTTATGAGCTTTCATAAAGTGGTTATTGTTCTTCTTTCATTTGACATTTTCTAAATTGTTACCATTTTTATAATCTGTATTGTTAGTTTATCTACTCATACTGAACACTGGCATTAAAACTCTCATGTCATAACCTATCACTGGATTTGACTGAGGCCTG